TTTTTCCCTTTTCTTTCTTTCTTTTTGCTAAAATCCAAATATGTCCATTAATATTATTTATTCTCTCAAGGTTCTTTGCCTTTTCCAAGTTTTTGCTAAAATCCAAATATGTCCATTAATATTATTTATTCTCTCAAGGTTCTTTGCCTTTTCCAAGTTTTTACCGGGCTTTCATCTCATCCTGCATGCTCCTGTTCAGTTGCTTTGGCTATAAGCCAGCTTCTTGTGCAGCCATGTTGCCATGCTGCCGCCCTGACTCCAATTCAGAGAGAAAATCTCCGACCTACAAGGGATCTGTTGCACTCCCTCTGGGTCTGATAAGATGCTGCCCCTTCTTCACCCACCCCCAGGGGGGGTTCTGATCCAAAAAGGATTTCGGAATTGGTTTGTCAGACAGAATTCATGTGAGACTCTTCAGAGCACACACACCCCTTGTCTGTCCATTTGGAGAACTTCCGGTCAACTCTGTTTTTGCTATATGAATTTTGTGCCTGTTTATTTGGTATTTCAGATATCAGAGTGGTTTGTGTGAAAGAGAGAGAAGAGTTTTCTATGTATATGGGCATTAAATAATAAATGAACTTTATATGAAATTAATAGCTATGATTAGATAGATTGATAAAGAAGATGGATAGTTTCCTTCCTCCCTCCCTCCCTTCCTTCCTCACTTATTTTATTCCTTATGCAATTCATCTTGTAAACTTGCAGGATTCTTTTTTTACCATGGGAATAGAATAGAATAGAATAGAATAGAATAGAATAGAATAGACCTTGGAGGTCTTCTAGTCCAACCCCCTGCTTTGGCAGGAAACCCTATACCATTTCAGACAAATGGTTGTCCAATCTCTTCTTTAAAACCTTCAGTGTTGGGGCATTCACAACTTCTGGAGCAAGTTGTTCCACTGATTAATTGTTCTGTCAGGAAATTTCTTCTTAATTCTAGGTTGTTTTTCTCCTTAATTAGTTTCTGTCCATTGCTTATTGTCCTGCCCTCAGGTGTGTGTGTGTGTGTGTGTGCGCGCGCACCTGCGCACACATTACATATACGTATATATTCAAACTAGATTGTATCAGATATATATGTATGTGGGTATATGCATAATGGTTATCTTTGAGATCTGAATGCCATGAATTGTACATTGTAATGTATACTGATTAGTATACATTTAAAGTGACAATAAAGTTTTCATTCTATTCTATTATATTTTACTTACTTACTTAGTGTGAATAACAGAATAACAGAGTTGAAATGGACCTTGGAGGTCTTCTAGTCCAATGCCCTATATACCCTTTCAGACAAATAGTTGTTCAATGTCTTCTAAAGAACCTCCAGTGTTAGAGTACCTACAGCCTCTGGAGGCAAGTTGTCCCACCTATTAATTGTTCTGTCATGAAATTTTTCCTTAGTTCTAGGATCATGTCTTCTGATTGACTCCTGAGAAGAGAGGAGGGGTGAGATTTTAGAGTTGGTTTCAGATAGAATTGATGATACTATGTTGGCAACCTGGGTGTTTCCACTTGAGGTCTTTTCATGAATATATTTTTTTCTGAATATTCTTAATTTGTGCGTGGTTGTCTTAAATTCGGGATCATCTTCCTTTTGAGTAAATTCAGTACTATAAATATTTGATGTTTGAAGTATTACATTTCTAAAAATTACAGTCCCTCATTTTCTTTATAGTTAATATATGGTGAATATGCATGTTTCATAGTTTGAGATATATTTGACAACTCTCCTGCATTGTATTTGACTTCCAGGTTTTTTGGGGAGGGGAAAAATCACTTCTCAGTGTTTTTGCTATGTTAAGCTACAAGTTTCCATCATCCCCACTACCCAAACCAATTGTATTGCCCCTTTTTAATAGCTTTTTTAAAAATAGCACTATTGTTTCCAGTTAGGGTCATCAATGTCAGTGAGAAAACTGAAAACATCAGAAAAAGGGGTGTGTTCTATTGGTTGGTATAAGTTTGGGCATAAAAATCTGGGAAGAAAGAGTATTTCTTCCTTTTTAAGAAAAATAATTAATTTAAAAATTAGAACTAAATTGAATAGCAATAGCAGTTACACTTATATACCATTTCATAGTGCTTTTACAGCCCTCTCTAAATGATTTACAGAGTCAGCCTATGGCCCCCAATAATCTGGGTCCTCATTTTACCCACCTCAGAAGGATGGAAGGCTGAGTCAACTTGGAGCCTAGTGAGATTTGAACTGCCGAACTGCAGCTAGCAGTCAGCAGAAGTAGCCTGCAGTACTGCACTCTAACCACTGCACCACCTCGGCTACAGGTGTACATATTAGTCATGAGCTACAAGAAAATGATAGCTGCAAATAGAGGAGTCTGTCTTTAAACCAGTCCCCACAAAATACCAGAGAGGCCACAAAAGGAACAAATGCTTCTATAGAGATGGAAATGCCAGAACTTGCTTCCTCCAAGATGCATTGGTAACCACCAAATCAATCAAAGTACAGATCTTTCACAATGCTACAGTACCATACTCTTTTACTTTGCAGCAAATTGTGCTATTTATGTGCATTTATCTTTGTAGCCATCTCTGTTGTATTTTGTCTTTATTTAAACAAGCTTTTCATTAAGTCTGTTAAGATTGCTGTTTCCTATATTATTTTATAATTATTTTCACAATTTTGTTTCTCCATTTTCTTCTTTTTGGGGGGGCTTTCGGGGCATCAACCAGTTTGCAAATCAATGGGTAAGTTCATTGCTTTACTTTTTGTTTGTTTGTTTGTTTTCCAAACGTGTTTCTGTCTTTATTTACTTTAGATAGAATTTATAATTTCTGATTATATATCACTAAACAAAATGAATTCAGGCCTAGTCTATGTATTTCCAGGGAACCATTTTCTCAATTGTTGATTGAGTAAAAGAAATTTTGGTGGAAAGTCACATATATTTTCATATGAATATTAAAGAACAGAAGCCTAATCACTGTATTAGTTGGACTTCTCAAAACCTATCACACATTGCATTCTAAAGGATTCTTCCTAATCCTAAAATTATTTATTTATAGTATCAAGGTTCAAGCTGATCTATACTTTTCAGCAAGAATGTCTGCAGTATTTTTATTTCTTCACCCATTTGGTTGTTTTCTAAAAGGTCTTCTCTCTGTGTGCTCTCTACGGAATATAAAATGACACACAAACACCCTTCCCAATTAAGCAAGTATCTATTTGGAGTTGGAGAAAAATGTGTCTTCCTTTTGGATAAATGTGGTAAATGGGAAAATAAAAGCTATCAGCTCTCCTTTGCAACTTTAAAACAAAAACACTCTTTCAAAACAGATCAGCTTTTCATTGGTGTTCTGTCTTCCACTATCAAACCTATCACCTTCTCATTCTTATTAACCTTTCATTATTCAAACAACACTACAATTATCATTTGTGCCCCAGTTTCCGTGGGAGGACTTTGTTTTTGCTTTATCAGACCATCTATCTGGCCATCTACATCTTTTATCAAATTCATGTCATCTTAATTAATTCTGTTGTAATTTTTTTTTAAATCCAAAAAATATTCCAATATCAGATAATCAAATCAAATATCTATTATAGTCACAGAGCAGCATACAGATATCAGATAATGCCATCTACTCTACTTCAATGTCACTACAGGCAAAGCAAGTTGTAGCTTTTCTTAGACTTAATAAGAATCAACGTCTAATCTCAAAGAAGGAACCTATTAAACCGACAGTAGGACTTTGCAAGCAAAGTGCTAGATTGAGAGAAGCAAAAATGCTTAATCAGGTGATTTGCACATCTTTATTCAGCAAAACCTGACAATAATGGCTACATTTATAATTACAACATACATGGGCACTTCCTCACAGCACTGCTTCTACTTCCCAATATCTTTAAATCAGACTGGTCTTATTACTGCTAATGTCATGTAATGCTAAAAAATGAGGCAATCACAGTTTTCCTACTAATAGGAAATAGGATCATGCCACTAATTTATTCAATCAGTGCCCATAAAATGATGGTAAAATCAATTTATATATTATGCCCTCCCCCCAATTTGACATTTTCAAAACCTTTGGGTGTGTTTGAGGAGCATTTATGAAAGGATGAAATTGCAAAACTACCTAGCTATCATTTCTTCTTTATTAAAAAAAATGCCATTGAAACATGTGAATATGATATCGTACCATCAACTTTGCAATTAGTTACTTTTCCTTAGCAACCATTGAAATGACAAAGAGTGATAACTTCTGAACAGCAAGCATTGGTACTCATTGTAAGGACACCTTCCAGCAACTACCATTTCCACTGCACTAAATATCCCAAATCCTTCAGTCTTTCTTGTAATGAAAAAGCAACAAGAATTAGAAAACCATCCATTCTGGAATTATACATATGACTCTCCCCTTGCAGAAGGAGAGAAGAAAATACACCATTTTCTGTTATTACAGTCTTGACCATGATTATCCTAGTGACAGTTGTAACTGTGGGTTACATTATAGTATGTGGAACTCCTTGGTATCACATATCTTATAGAAACGTTGGGCTTAGCAGAGCTGTAGAGCCAGCACATCTGAAGGTCAGGGATTAGGGAAGGTTGATAGCTTCAGTAATTTGCCTAGGCAAACCAAGCACTGGGGATCGTGCTTAACACACTTTTCTTAAAAGTCGTTAGTACATATACTGTAATACTTTGAAAAAGGGAGTAAATTGCCTTCAGGAACCCTAAATTTCTTACAACTCTTACAAAGTTGAGTGAATGTTTAGACTGATGCTGGCAGTTCTTTATTCAAAGCATTATGCTGTTGCTGATTCATGTAGCCTTGAACCATCAAGATAAGGTTAGTCTTTATAAGACACATTTTTTGTGAAGTGGGCTACTGGAGCATTCTTTGCTTTCAAACAAATGTTCTGATGGAAGAATTACTTTTTGGAATGAATATATGTTCAGAATAAAAGAACGAGCCTTTGCTCCCACAAACTGCAGGATGGACGCTTGATTTATTATGATCAAAAACAGAATGTGAAAGTCTTTCAGATTTAAAATGTGTTTCTTAAAGAAAATGTTTTCATTAGTGAGAAAAAAGCTACAGTAGAAAGATGGAGAGCAGCAACTGATTTAGCTATTATATATTTTATGGTTGAGTAATTTATTGCCATCCTTCAGGTTTTCTGATTAATTTTTATTTTTTGCCTGCGTTAGAGCAGATTGTATAGGAATTGTATAACCTGCAGCTCACTTCACTCTTAAAAGGGTTCTTTGAAGAGCAAACAATTGGCCACTCATTTTATTTCTGAAGAACATAACATGTGAATGAGAGTTATCAGACAGAAAGTGGTTTATTTACTAAATCTTCTTCTCATCTTGCTTTTGCAGCTAAATCAGCCCTTTGGGGGTGAAGGAATACATAGCCACCTTAATTACATAGAAGACAAAACATATCCTTCACATTCCTTTCCCTGAATAAGGCCTTGCTGCATCTAAATAATAACCCTATTAGCTACTTAACTCAAATGCATACATTGGAAAATTTTCTGAATATTATATGAAAGAAAGTAATTTGTAGGTGGATCATTTTCAAGGCTTTGTTCCTTTAATAATTTTAAATAACTCTGATCTGTCAGTTTTTGTACCTTTGTGACTTATGACAAGTAGTGTTGTGCTCATTTAATATATTAATGCTACTTTGGTTTTCTGAACCACAGCAACAATATCATTCGAAAATTGATGACTTGATTGAAGAAACCATGAAGGAAGCAATTTCACTTCTTGTTTCAAAGGTAAATATATTAATTTTTTTAAAAAAAAATGTACTTGGGGGAGGGGGGAAGAGAAATATTCATATCTGCTTTTTGTAAAGAAAAAATATTTGATATTTTCCATGTTCCTGTTTTTAAAATAAAATAAGGTTAGTGACTAACACTCCATGAGGTCATCAAGATACTTATAGGTGTAAATTGGATCCCAGTTTGAAGAAATCTTTTTATGCAATATCTATTAAGCAGATATCATTTTCTTCATGCTACAGTGCCTTAATTAATTAACAGCATTTAATATGACTACGTTTTTACTATTCCAAGATCAGCTTTAATTAGATACAAGAAATACTGGTTTGCTGCATCTTGCAGAGAAGGAAAGTATGTTTTCAGTTTCTTCAAAAGATTTTGAAGCCTACTTTTACTTACACATTTGTACTTCTATGAAAAAGTTTGAAAGACATTGGCTAATCTGTTTTTCATAATTTAGTTGAATAGAATAGAACAGAACAGAACAGAATAGAATAAACTTCATTATGGCCAAGTGTGATTAGACACACAAGGAATTTATCTCTGGTGCATAAGCTCTCAGTCTACCTACAAGCAACAAGTGTGAAATCATGATCATAATCATCATAAGATACATTCATCAGACATCATAAGGTACAATAGCAATAGCAGTTAGACTTATATACCGCTTCATAGGGCTTTCAGCCCTCTCTAAGCGGTTTACAGAGTCAGCATATCACCCCCACAGTCTGGGTCCTCATTTCACCACCACGGAAGGATGGAAGGCTGAGTCAATCTTGAGCCGCTAAGATTAGAACTGCTGAACTGCAGATAACAGTCAGCTGAAGTTGCCTGCAGTACTGCACCCTAACCACTGCGCCACCTCGGCTCTTCTACACTTAGTGATAGACATAGGATACTAAATAAGCAATCAACATAAATCATACTAGGATACTAAATAAAAGAATTAATATAAATCATAAGATACAAGCAACAGTTATAACCATAAGAGGATAAGAAGAGAGGTAATAGGAAGATGAGAAGGGTAATAGTAATATAGCCTTACTAGGTAGTTTGACTGTGTTGTGGGAATTAGATATTTAGCAGAGTGATGGCATGATGGAAAAAATGTCCTTGTGTGTAGTTGTTTTGGCATGTAATGCCCTATAGCAGGGATATCAAACTTGCAGCCTGAGCAACTTTGCAGCCAGATGCATCACATGCTGGCCATGCCCATCGCCAGTTTAGTGAAGGGGAAAACACAACGTGACAACACAAGTTTAACACTCCTGCCCTATAGTGTCATCTTGAGGGGAGAAGTTGAAAGAGTTTATATCCAGGATGTGAGGGGTCTGTAGCTATTTTCACAGCCCACTTTCTGTCTCGCGCAGTGTACAGGTCCTCAATGGAAGGCAGGCTGGTAGTAATTGTTTTTTCTGCAGTTCTAACTACCTGTTGAAGTCTGTGTCTGTCTTGTTTGGTTGCAGTGCCAAAACAGACAGTTATAGAGGTGCAGATGACAGACTCAATAATTTCTTTGTAGAACTGTATCAGCAGCTCTTTGGACAGTCTGAACTTTCTGAGTTGGTTCAGGATGAACATTCTTTGTGATGCTTTTTTGATGACATTTTTTATGTTAGGTGTCCATTTTAAGTCTTGAGATATTATAGAACATAGAAACTTGAAGATCTCTACTGTTGATACTGTGTTGCCTAGTATTGTAAGAGGTGGTGGAATAGGAGGGCTTCTCCTAAAATCTACTATCATTTTACAGCTTTGAGTGTATTCAGTTCAAGATTGTTCTGACCACACCACAATATTTCTTGTTAAATGTTGCTATTCAGTTTTTCTGCTTTTATGTAATGTACACTCTTGAATTAATTCTATAGTTTGAGAACGTATCAAATGATATGGGTGCCAGTGGGCTCAGAGATAGGAGGCAAATGACAACATAACAGAAAAGCTGCAATTGATATTGTTCTCATCACAGTTGTTATGGGCATTGCTGAGAGATGGATGGATGGATGGATGGATGGATGGATGGATGGATGGATGGATGGATGGATGGATGGATGGATGGAATTAATGAGTTTCTTTAAATGGAAAATAATGAATTGCACTGAATATGAATAATTATAAATATTAGAGAAAAGAGCTGTGCAGTTACCTGTTTTTTGTAGTACAGTTCTAGAATCTCTCCATAGCCTGAAAAAGGAAAGGAAAGGGTTAAGGTGCCAACTTAAAAGAGCTCTTATGTGAAAGAGTGAAGACCACAGCTAATTCCATTTACTTAAGCCTTATGAAAAAGCAGAAAAGGAAATTTATTCATGGTTCCATACAACACAAAGTACTGGCTTATGGAGGGAAAACTCTTCAGATAGCTTATCAGCATACACTGGCTCTTATGTCAGTGAACACAAGCCCTGGGCCAGGAAGCTAGTGGAACTCGGGGGTTGAATGCTGAATTTTAATTTAGGCTGATTTTTACAAGTGTTTTAAACTTACTGTTTGCCCCTCTAAATTGTGTGTCAAATGAACAGCCATGCAAATAAATAAACAAAATAAAAGTGCAACGCATAAGAATGGCCTCCACCATTTTCTCTCTTCCATAGGAAGAATATGAGAAAATTTCTGTTTAATTCTAAGAGTTTTTCAGTGTATTATGATTTAAATCATTTTTGCATTCAATTTGATATGATCTTAAAGGGGGGCTTCAATAGCATTCTACTTTTGTTTCTCATCATTAAGAGGCAAAAAAGATTTTAGGACCAAGGAGTGACAATAGGTCTCTGTTGGAATATAATATAAAATTGGAATCTGTTAACCACTCTTTGCTTTGTCAAATAGAACTTAGAAAAAATATAATTATCTTTTCCCAAGATTTCCAATTCACTGTAAAACCATGATAATACTTCATTTTTGCTTTGTTTTGATATATTGTTTAGATTTGTATCCTGTTTCCTTTTAGGGGCCGAGGGCATCATGCCCAGCACTCCCTTTGCAAGTTATTCTTGACCATGTTATAAGACTGGTCAGGCGGAGATAGTGGTTCACTCCAAGCCATTCAGAGAGCTTCTATGTCTGAGGACAGACGTGACTCTAGATTTACCCGTTTTAAGCATCTTCACCATGAAACAGAATCATTCTAAGAATAAGTGACAATAAGTGTTGTCAAATGCTAACTTTAATTTAGCAAATTATTTTTTTAAAAAATAAAACAATTCCAGAAATTCAATTTGAACTAGCATTTTGAAAAATTACTCTTGAGAAAGATGAGGGCCTATATACTGACTGACATGCTAAGAGGAGACCAGAGAATTAGTGTGATGAATTTTAAAAAGTGCCTTTAGTTATCCATTCATTTACTTATTATTCATCTCATTTCTTCTTCCGTAATGATCCTTCTGATGATATAAAAAGAAAGATTTACAATAAGGAAGAATATGTATTAAATGTATAAAGATATAAGAAAAGCAGAAGATGTGATGATATAGCTCACTATTATCACTCTGTTAAACCATTAGGGTCTTGGATTGCTGCAAGGTGAGACTTTCAAATCCTGACAGAGAACAAGAAATATGACACTGTTATGACACTGTTAGAGTGGCCATTAACAACATGCCAAATGGAATTTTGTCCTGTCTTCTCACTTATAAGATGCTACTCCTATGTTCTAGGAATGTGATTTAGATGTCAAGCAACTACTCTTTAAAATACTTGTAAAATTAGTCATTCTATTATTATAAACATTTTGCATTTACTGTGACAATGAATAATGTTTTCATATAAATATGAGAACAGTATTTTTTTAAAAAATAGTATCTTTTCTGTATATTTGCAGATGTGACAAGGTTCTCATTATTGTTTGTATCACATAGAACTTCCAAAATAAGAACAACAGAATTGTTGACCTGTTTAGTTTGGGTTTATGTATAACTTGTTTAAAATAATTGTGTTGATAATTTTAGAAGTTGCGCTGTATTCTGAGTCTAAGTATACATTCTGATTAGTGGACTAGAAATATGGTTTTTATTACAAAAAGGTAATAAGAAAGGCATAATATGCTTCCTCTTAATATTTTGCATTCAAAGAGAGAAGTATAAATAGTTCTATTTTAATGAAGAGTTTGTGGGTTCTTGATGCTCTCTGAACTTGGTTGTTTGCTTGCAGATGTTGTATTACCAAACAGGATAAAATCATCAGTGCTAGAAGGGAAGGTTGTGTGTCAGGGGTGGGTTGCAGCAGGCACTACTGCCAGTTCGCTCATGTGCACACCGCACATGCAAGCATTGTGTGGTTTGATTAAAATTGTTCTGCGCATGTGCAGAACCCAAAAACAAGATGGCGCCGCCCATGGCACTGCCGGGAAAACCAGTTCGGGGGTGTGGCAGGCCTGGATCACTGCCAGTTCCAGCGACCCAAGTCGTCAAACCACTACCGGTTCAGCTGAACTGGTCTAAACCGGTGGAACCCACCACTGGGGTGTGTACTCTCAGTTCATATACTTGTGGCTGCCCTTTCAGTGTGGGTGGGAGTGTTCTTGGTGGTTCTTTGATTAGACTGTTGTTTACTTTTTGCTTGTTTCCTTGATTGGGGTTTTGGGATAAATAGCTCCTCACCAGCAAACAACACCCAGAGAAGCAGAGTTTAACACGAAAATTAATAGTAGAGCAACAATCAAGGTGTAAACAATACTCCAATCAAGAAATTATCAATAAATAATGTGAATAACAGTGGGGGAACTGATTAGTCCTTTTCTCTTAATTTTGTTTGTTTCCTTACTTTTTCTTCATAAGCAGAAAACAAACTGGAAAAGATTTGATAAAGAAACATACAGTGCTGGAAAAAATATATTGAATAGCACATTTTTGTTTCTTCCCTTTTGACTATTCTACTAAACAAACTCCTTTCCAATTCCTAATTAGTTTCAACCTAATTTGATTTTATTTTATTATGCACACATGCACACACATGTACACACACACACACACTGCTGTGTTCAATGGTCCATTGTAGTATGTAGAATAGTATATAGATAAATAAATAATGATTCATTTTCATAGTGAACACTGAAATGAACATTAATAGCAACCTGCACGTTGCAAAGCCCACAGAAAATATGGAGTCAATTGTATGCTCTGAAATTGTCTGTTTTTACAGCCTAGTTCTTTCCATATCTATTAAAGTATAGTTGAACTAATCTCCAGATAGTGTAATGTCAAAGAATGGTAGGAATGGTAGTGATTGGGTGACATCCAATTGGAGAAAACTACTGCATGGTTATTTTATTCGTTAAGATGGAAAACATGGGCCACCAAAAGTTTCTAATAACTCTCAACATTTGCTAGGAAGAATTAATGAAATTCAATATATGAAAAATGCATGCACAACCTTGACAGAGTTTGAGGATTATCCCACTGAAATTGACCATTTGTTCTATGTTGTTCACATTGACTCAGTAAAAGCAGAGTTACTCGGAAGGGGGTCCAGAGTGGTGTTTTGTGTTTTCTCCTTTGGTTTTGCTACAGCAGTGATAATCTTGAACTGAAGAGATAGATAGATAGATAGATAGATAGATAGATAGATAGATAGATAGATAGATAGATAGATAGATAGATAGATAGGTCTACTCCTGGAAACACCAAACCTGAAGTAGTC